GGCCGCTGAGCCTGCGCGTCCGGAGCCTGCGCTCCGCAACGGGAGAGGCCGCAAGAGTGAGAGGCCCGCGTACCGCAAAAAAAAAAAAAACACCAGAAGTTCTCCCCCAAAAGGGGTATGAAGATAGAATTGCCAGAGCTCTTCCACTGTGGCAAGGCGGGAAGCTTTCTCCAGACCATCTACTGGGGCCTCATCCCCCTGCCGACTTGTTGCCTCTTGTGGGCCATCTGCTGGCGCAGCTGCGCCCCTTTAGCTACAAAGCGATTGCGCAGGTGGGAGGGCCCATTGCGCCTGCGCAGAGGGCTCCAGCAGCTGATCAGCATTTCTTTGCTGATGAGCCGACCTGCAGCTTCCCAGCGCAGTACTCTATGCCGTTCCGAGCAGCGGTAGGCGGATGCTTGCGCATGAGCATACAGACTCGTCTAGAGCCCTGAGATCATGAGGTCGAAAGAGTTCTTATACTGAATGCTCCAGGCCTATGACTTCTACTACCTGTTCCAACATTATGGCTGTTGATCCGGCTGGGTGGATCTGATAAGCTAAGCAATCTCATGTCCGGGTATGATTTCATCCACAAGATGACTGGGCAAGACGTATTTGGAATCACTGTTCCCCTGATTACAAGTGGATCAAAACCATGAAAGTCATCTGACAGTGCTGTTTGGCTACACAGAGTTAAGATACCTCCCTTTGAATTGTATCAGTTGTCAGGCAGCAAGATGATTCAATAGAAAGGTACCAAAAGCCCTTCACTTTTCCACCCCTTCCAGAGATGAATGACATAATGCAGCAACATGTCACAAAGCCAGAAAATCGGCGTCCTCAGAAACGACTTGCTGCAGAAGTAACAAAGTTTGTTCGTGGACCAGAAGGGCTGGATTCTGTGAAAAAGTATACGCAAGCCCTCTGCCATCGTAGCATAAATGCACTGGAGGTTATGTCTGATCAAGAGTTAAAAGTGTCGTTTAAAGAAACTTCATTTTCTGAAGTAGTTCTTAACCTTGCAACAAGTGTCCTAAATATAAGCTGCAAAACAAATGCCATTCCGCAGGGTCCACGAGGGCACTGGCTAACAGAAGGTGGAGTTGGTATTAATGGCAGACAAGCAACAAATCCTGAGAGTGCTAGTTGTTGGACCACATATACTTGAGAATGGACTTTCATTCTTAATAATGGAAAAGGAATTTCTACACTATAAAACGGCTTCAGCTATGATGAGAAACCCTGGTGGTTCAAACAAACATCCATCATTCATTCTCAAGATATAAGAAGGAACTTATACGTTTGCTGATGCTAATCAGAACAACAAAGAATGGAGTATACTCTAGGCTTCACACTGTAAGTAATTTCATTTTTTTATAAGGGCATTTTATTTTTAATTAATTAATTTATTTATTTATTTTTGGCTGTGTTGGGTCTTCGTTTCCGTGCGAGGGCTTTCTCTAGCTGCGGCGAGCGGGGGCCACTCTTCATCACGGCGCGCGGGCCTCTCACTATCGCGGCCTCTCTTGTTGCGGAGCTCAAGCTCCAGACGCGCAGGCTCAGTAGTTGTGGCTCATAGGCCCAGTTGCTCCACGGCATGTGGGATCCTCCCAGACCAGGGCTCGAGCCCGTGTCCCCTGCATTGGCAGGCAGACTCTCAACCACTGCACCACCAGGGAAGCCCAGCAATTTCATTTTTTATGTAAGCTGGTTTATACATAAGGTGTTTGTGTGATGATGAAATATTTTATTTCCTGATCAGCAAACACCAACGGCCATGATTTGCTGGGTTAATCTTTTTTAAAAATTATACTTTATGAAAAAATTAAATTATGTCTTTTTTATCCTAAAAAAAACCCCAGTGCTTCTCATTTTACAGAAGCACAGCATCCATACTTGCACATGTATTATGAAGGATATGCCTGCAGTGAAACTGACCAGTACAGCACCCTCCCTACAGTACTGCACTTGTGCAATAAATGTTAGCGTCTCTTTGATAATAACCTCTGAAATTTGAGTAGCACTTGATAATTTCAAGGGACTTTTTGACATACTCTCTTAATTAAATAACTCCACAAAGTGAGGAGGAGGGTGTTATGATTTTCATTTCTCAGTTGAGGATATCTGTTCATTCCACAAATATGTATTACATGTATGACATGTGCCGTACACTGTTCTAAGCATTCAGATTGACACTGAGAAAGCAAGACATCTATTCAAGCTCATGCAGATTCTAAGGGGGAGATTCAGGACCCTACATGCAGATCTTCATATCAAATCTCATGGTCTTTCTATCACGTAAGTTATCATGTTTCTCCAGAGGTGGAAGAAGACAGGGCTCCATGGTCCTGGGCAGTGAGGGTTTAGTGAGAGACAAACAACTCTATTTATTGGTACAAAAGCATCCGGTTGGCTTTTTAGTAGCCCACTCTTAAATAAGAATTTACAGTCAACAATTATCACATATTTGAGGAAAATTGTATTATAAAAGACAGAAATCACATAAAGTAACAGGAAGGACACAGAGATAGTACAGGGAGAAAAAAAGTTTTTAAACCTATATTAATACCTTCCAAGAGATAAAAGATATTACATCCATGAAGCAAAAACAGGATGCTTCAAAAAAAAATATTAAGAGAAGAGCCAGAAAGAGATGTTAAGCATTAAAAATGAGGGAAGAAACCCCGTAAACTTGAAGAAATCTCCCAGAATGTAGAACCAAAATATAAAGAGTTAGAAAATGGAGAGAAAAGATAAGAAAATTGGACTTTTCCAGAATGTCCATCATACACACATAGGAGTCACAGAAAAAGTGGACAGAGAAAATAGAAGGTAAGAAATTATCCACGAGATAACTGGAGAAAATTTCTCAAACTTGTAGGATGTGAGTTTCCAGATTGGAAGAGCCCATTTTGTGCTCAGCACAATAGATGAAAATAGACCTACACTAGAACCCCTGAAAAATTTCAAAAGACTGGATATTAAGAAAAGATTCTAAAACTTCCAGAAAGAAAACTGGTTTCTTGCAAAGGATCAAGAATCAGATAGTGTCAGATTACCCAGTAGCAACAATGGAAGTCAGAGGACCATGGAACAGTGCTTTCAAAAAGAAATTACTTTCAACCTAGAATTTTAGTCAACCAACTTTCAATGGAATAAAAGGGGAGAAAAAAAGACATTCTCAGATACTTTTTTAAAAAGCTACAAAATCTGGAAAGTAGGGTGTTCAACACAGCAGCTGTGTGTGTCAGTCCACGTTGGAGCATGTCAAAAAAACCCCTGGGATATTTATGTTTTAAAAAGATATTTAAAAATACCTAATGAATCTGAACATATTGGGAGATTTACATCACTGAGAGAGAATTGGGGTATAACTTAATGATAGGTGCATACAAACTAAATCAAATGGTGAAAAGACAATTATTAACGCCAGGGTGAACAAAAATATATCGATGAGAAACAGAAAGCAACTATGGTATATATACAGGGCTCAGCTATAACGTATGTTTTACAATGTGAATATAAAATGTTTATGTCACCCAGTGGTTCCCAGAGTGTGGTCCCTTGGCCAGTCCAACAACATCATGACATCACCTAGAAATTTGTTTGGAATGCAAATTCTCTGGATCCTCCCTTACTGAATCAGAGGGGAGTAGGACCCACGAATCTGTATTTACACAAGCTATCAAAGTGATTCTAAGGCACTCTATTTGAGAATCATTGATCTGACCAAAGTTATAAAATCTAAACTAGAGAGAATGACAGGCTTTTCACATGTATGTGATGAGGATGGGCAGAGGAGAAATTCAATAACTAATGCTTAAACCAAGCATTAAGAAAAACCAAGAAATGCAATCTAAGCATGGTATTTAGAAGTAGAAAGGGCGAGAGAGCACCCTTATTTCAGTCGATAAAATAAAAACAAAATTATATAAGAAGCACTGACCTGCTCAGTCCAACTGACCTGATGTTCTCGGGCCCACCAAAATTAAGGATGTTTTCTCTTTGTAAATTATAAAGAATTCCTAATCCACAAAAGAGAACTTGCTTATAGGTAGTAAAGATGTATGTTATTTTTATACATCTTACTTTAAAAATCACTCAGACGTCATAAACCATGGATCTTATATTGCAAAATATTCAGTTACAAACTGGTATTACTTTGTTATCCTGTAGATGAGGTTTTTCATTGAACACCAACATACAGGGAAAAGCATGGCACCATGACTTTCGTTACTGAGCATGGTATGATGTGGCATGTTACATATATGTGGGATTAAATGAAATTAAAGAGGTTATATATATATTTATAATATATGTGTGTGTTATATACATATTTATTTATTTAACCTTTATAACAGTTTTAGGAAAAATGTGGTCATCTCTGATTTAGAGATGAGGAAATCCCGGCATCAAGAACATTGAAAATGTTTAGCATCACACAAGCGGTGGATGTGCCTTCCATGACCCCCTGTTAAACTAGATTTAGTTTGTAATTATTTGTACTGCAACTAGTCAGATGGGGCAGCATCTGAAGACAACTACAAAACGCAGAGGACCCCATCTTTCTGTTTTGATACAAGGAGCTCAATAAGTTAAAACGAGCAAGTGGCTCTGCAATTTTCTAT